GGTATTTTTATTTATTTTTATTTTTTAAAGTCTATTTTTCTGTGACCAGCAATAGTGTAATGGTTATGGCACTAGACTCCCAAATAGGTGACCACAGTCTGAGTCTCAGAACTGGCAGCTTAAAACTCACATGGGGCACATCTGTGTGGGTACCTAAAATCCCAAGAGGAGAATAGAGGAGAAGGGATTGCAGTATGGCCAACTCCCTAGTGGGTCATTTCTCACTTTCTGTCTTGCTCTGTCTCTTCAGTGAGTGCATATGCTCTATAGCAAAAATCTCTCTTAAAAGAAGATAATAAAGATATTTTTCTTTTGGTTTTATTTTCTCAAAATAAAACAACAAAAGGAATCATAGGAAACTAAGAACAATACAAATGGTAGAAGGAGATGGTGGGGAAAGGCACCCAGAAATGGACATTCTTTTTAAATTATGACCACAGATTTTTTATTCCCACATTAAATCTTACTGCCTTTCTTCGTGGCTTTTTAAAATCTTGAGGAATGCAGCCCCCAGAGCAGAGCAGAAGCACATCAAAAGCTAAGCCTTCAGAGTTTTAAGCAAGTTCTACCCCTTTTGTATTATCTATGAGGAAACTTGCATTTTTCTAACTTCCTGTCCCTGTATCCCCAACACAGTAGTTTCTGACTCTTTGGGTTTTAAAAAGGAATAACCAAGAAAGCTTTTATCTTGCTGCAAAGTACACAATAAAAACACAGTATCAGCCCAGCCACAGCAGTACGGCCGACAGGGCACGGCTGCACGATACTGGGGTCATATAGGAGATCTCAGATTTGGATACTGGGTTGACATGTTGGGTGTAACCACAGGCACATGGGTGATATGGACAGCTGGAAGGCAGTGGTGTGTGGGGCTGGGGAAGATGGATGTGTCACAACACAATGAGGCCTTGTCAGGGGCGTGGCTGTCTGTCTCTCTCTCATTTCGTTTTTCTCTCTCTCTCAAGAAATAAAAACACCATCATGATGTTGAACTAAGAGATGCAACAACACAAGTCTTACAGACACTGTATACTGGGTGGACACAAATGCACCAGTACATAATTCCTATTTAAGAACAGACAAAACTAACTGATGGGATAGAAATTAGAGCGACTACTCTCCAGGGGTACACTGTGACACAAGGGAACCTCAGATGCTATAATGTTCTTAATCTCCATTTGGCATATATGTATAAAAACTCACCAAGCTATACAATTAAATTCATGCATTTGTTGTACTTCACTCTGTGTATGTGAACAGATATACACATTATACTTTAAAACTATTTTAAGACTATGAAAATGTTTAGGAAGAATAATGACATGATAAAATCCCTACAACCTAACATTAAGGTTTAAAAAAGTAGGGCTTTATACTAATCGGAATATGAACATACTTCTGACTTAGAACAGTAGGAAAGGGAAGACATGATTAAAGAAATTACACCAACACGGTAACTGAAGGGTGTAGAATTTTCTTTATACTTCACTGTATTTTCAAAATTCTCTTATACTTACAGTAAGGTAAAATAATTTTTTAATAAAAATAACAATTAGATCTGGGGATATGGGCATAGTAACAAATTATCTGCCAATTTAGTTATAAGAACCTTAAAACATTTAAAATATAACAATGTTGGTACATACTCAAGTATATGACAGCCCAGGAATAGGTTAACAACCAAATAGTTGCAAATGGTGTGCAAACAGGGCCTGTTTATTTTACAAAGAACAAGATATCCAGAAAGGTGAGGGGAAAAAACCTAAAAACTCCTAGGAGGCAGAGAAACTACTGTGTTGAGGACACAGGGACAAGAAGTTAGAAAAATGCCACGTTTCCTCAAAGATCATACAAACGGGGTAAACCTATTTAAAACTAAAGACTCACAAGATGTTAAAAAGCCAAGGTGTAATAAGGTAATAACTATCTTGACCCACCTCAATTAGGGAAGAAATAAACTCATAGTGAACAGCTTACCAATTGTTACTTTGCTAAGTTTTTCTCCACACTCCCCTCCCCAACTAACCATTTGCTATTTTGGGAGTATCTCATTTTAGGTCTACACAACTAGTAGAATCCAAATTTTAATCTTGACTTAGCACAAGTACAGTAGTTAATTCTCTTCCACTATTTTAAGTGGAGATTATTTGGATATTAATTTCTAACAAACCAAAGAAAGAAAAAAATCACTACTTTCCTTCACCACCGGGCCCTTCAGATGCAGCACCACACGATTCCACACAGCAGCCCCATCATCAGAGGGAAACTGACTTGTGCAAAAAGGCAAATTAGACCAGAGAGACAAAGTGACAGGCTGCCTCTAACTGTTGAAGCCAATGGAGGAAAGAAGGACAACATTGGTATTGAGCTCTGCAACAGGAACTTAGGCAGATAAGGGGAGTCTAGGAGAGAAAGCAAAACACCTGGGGCTAAAACTGCCTCCAAACGACATTTCAAATTGCATTTCAATTGGGGAAACTGGAAAGCACAGGAGCAAAAAGATGGGTAACTTGCATGTGGTTTAAGTAGCACAAAAATCTGGGGACAAATCATACAAATGTGATTCAGCAGAGGATTCTTTTTTTTTTTTTTTGAGAGGTTTTTGCTATAGGGCATGTGCACTTGTCAGAAAGACAGAAAGTGAGAAATCACCCCCCCAGGGGGTATGGCCACACAGAATCCCTTCTCCTTCATTCTCCTCTCAGGATCTTGGGCATACATGCACACACGCCCGGCGTGAGTTTAAGCGACCGGGTCCAGGACTTGAACCACGGTCCACTATATGGGAGTCCAGCGACATAGCCATTACGTTAACTGCTGGTTCCAGCAGCAGATGATTCTTTAAGTTTCACACAAGGAAAACATTTACTATCAGAGAAAAACGACTAAGTCTATGCAAAAACCAAGGACTCTCACATTTTCAAGGATTTAGGGAGAAAGTTTTAAAAAAACACACCTTTATTTTTCTTTTTTAAAAAGATTTCATTGAACTTTGTTTATTTATTTATTTTTATTTTACCAGAGACAGACAGAGTGAGTGAGTAAGAGAGAGAGAGAAAGTAAGTCACCAGGTCCAGAACTCGAACTGTGGTAGGTTGTGTCAGAGTCAAACACTCTTAACCACCATGCCACCTGCTGCCCTCCCACCCCCAAATCACTCCTTTTTCAAAATAATCCTTTCAGCTTAACTGTCATCACTCTCATAAGTGACTGTGGCTATCTCTTGCCAAATTATCAAAAGCACCTAGAACTGATTAAACCTTCCTGACAATAAAACCAGATGAGAGGCCAAAGTTCACTGGGACTCTAATGTTATTGGCACTGGTCTCCCCAGAGTCAGGTTCTTATTTTTTTAAGTCTCTCGAAACCTTAAGTAAACAAACCCCACAGCCAGTGAAAACCGACACACCCAGAAACTCTGAGTGAAACAACACTTCATAGTTCACAATAGACTGCCCTATTCCATCCATAGGTGGCCCTGCTTGGAGCTCAAGGTTGAAAGAAAACACTCTCTAACATTGTCACACTGGCCTTGTATCATAGGCAAATACCACACCCTGCTGTGGCTTTCCTACGCCTGCTTTGGTGTTTGCTCCTTAACCAACTAGGAAGAATCTCACCTATGTTTCCAGATTTCCTAAAAAAACATCAGATATATAAGACACTGGAGCAAAAGGAGGCTTTGAGAGTCTCAAGATATTTTCCCACAACTGACCAGCAGCCTCCATCCTTGGTCCTCTCCGACCTCTATTCCCACTGGCCAAAACACACCTATCCTAGGAGCAGTGTCCAGCATTCTCAATGAACCTTCATGGTTAGAAATCAATAAGGTCAGCGAAGACTGTGATGGCATTCCCTGAGGTTGCTTCTAACAGCATTCTAACAGAGGATTTCTGAGAAGCAAGGGTTCACTCCGAACATCTCTGGAGACAGTTCAATATTCACTTAGAAGGTATCTTGGAGAGAGGAGCTTTCTGGGCTTTCTGCAAACTACATTGCACCGAAAGTCTGGTAAAATGAATCATTTATACAAATAAGATATTTCTCTAATCTCTCTTTGCCTCGTTAAAGTATTGCATAGGCAAATATTAGTGCAGTGTGTAGTCACTGTGGTTCGCCTTGCTGTTACCTATGTAAGAAGATGAAAAGGCGTGGGAACCAGCAGTTAGCGTAATGGCTATGTCGCTGGACTCCCACGTAGTCAACTGCGGTTCGCATCCCAGACCCGGTGGCTTAAAACTCACGCCGGGCGCGTGTGCGTGCGTGCCCAAGATTCCGGAGAGGAGAATGGAGAAGAAGGGATTGTGGCGTGACCATCCCCTCTGGGGGGTGATTTCTCGCTTTCTGTCTCTATGTCTCTCTCTGTCTGTCTGGCGAGCGCACGTGCCCTATAGCGAAAAAACCTCTCCAAAAAAAAAGGCATGCCCCCTGTCTCTCCAAAAACACCCATCTCAACCCATGACACTCGGCTACAGCATTTCCTCTAAAATGGTAAGTAGAAAAATAAAAAGGGGCCAGCAGGTGGTATGGTGGTTAAGGCACTGGACTCCCACATGGTTGACATGGTTTGAATTTTGCACCTGGCCACTTGCTTTCTCACTTTTCCTCTCTGTCTCTCTCTGGTGAGTGCACATGCCCTACAGCAAATTTAAAAAATAATAACAACAAATAAAATTAAATAAGTAATTTAAAAAAAAAAACAGAAAAAGGAGTGGGAGAAGGAATTGGTTTATTTTGCAAAACAAAGATCAAGTTATTTCTACATGATTACTCTATTTTCAAAATCTCGATCCACTTCTTTAAAACAGAAATCTGATTTTTACCAGGTAGTAAAATAATCTCCAGTAATCTCACCCTTTAAAATTCTGAGTAAAAATCAAAGTAACAACTTCTGCAAAATACACAAACAAAAATTCCAAAAACAAAGTTTTAGGACTAAGACTTTAGAAACAAGAACCTGGATGCTTAATAAAAGATTGAAAAGTGTTTGCCATACTCACCCATTCTTCAACATTGGGGGGCTGCTCATCATAAATGTGTTCCTTGTCCCACAAAATATTGGACTTGTCATACCGGTCTATCTTTCTTCGAGTTTTCACAGCAAAATAAATCATTAAAGCAAAAGCCACAATCATCATGAACCCAAGTACAATGGCAATGGCCTGAAAATGGAGTAAAGATATTGGCATAATTGTATTTTAATTGCTATTTAATTGCAATCCACTCTCTACAAATAATTAAAACCTTCAAGTACCTATGGCCCTACTAAATATGTGGTTGAACTAGTATAAAATCAAAGCAAATAGTTACGTTTTAGGCATGACATAAACACACACTAACTGGGCTAAGACCAGAAAACACACACACACACACACTTGATCCAGTTCTCAGAACATGCTTAAAGTTAGCTGCTATCACTATCCCATTTCACAGCGGTAGAAAACTAACTAGTTCTGAAGCTTGTGCACCTAGGGACCATACATTACAAACAAATGAGAAGTGCCAATAAATGAACTCAATTTCTGGTATGCTTTTAAAGGACTAGAACGATTTTTTCTCCGACGTAGCTCTGAAAGGTCAATCATGCTTACAATCCTGTTCCTAATAGATGCTTAGCAAATCTTCTGACATTGAATATAAATTTGAGTCTACAGAGGATCAGTTTTACCATAATGATGAAGACACGGATCTAATCACATTATAAATGAGAGCAAATAAACTGATTCATTTGTTCTAGCAGGTTTCTGTTCTAGGAGTCTTGTGTGCATACTAGAAAGGGCACCTTGAGTGATAAGGAAACTTTCCACTCTGATAGACAAATTAAGTGGCACACTGTCCTAGGTAAGGCACTTGAATTTGAGGGAGGTACCAGGCCTCTTTCTGGATATCTGCTAATGAGTAAGAGGAGGCTTTCCTTCCATCTGCCTATTTGACAGTGTTGTCTTTTTTACAAATAATACAGGTTCAAGTAGTCAGAGGACAAAGAGGGATGAGAAACATGGAGGGAAGATAAAAGCAAGGACTCTAAATCCCTCATTCCTAAATGGTAACATCAAACACTGAAAATCTATAAATGTTGGGGACCAGCATTTGGCGTGGTGGTTAAGGTGCTGGACATTCCCACATGGCCGACTATGGTTTGAGTCCCAGACCTGGTGGCTTGCTTTCTCACTTTCCCTCTTTCTCTCTGTATCTCTCTCTGGTCAAATTAAAAAATGATTGAATAAATAAAATTAAAATTAAATTTAAAAAATTAAATTGTCACTTGTAATAAAGAAGGGTTTTTAAAAAAATCTACAAATGCAGGGAAAACAGTCAGTCTTCAAAACAGTGATAGACAGTTACTACAGAAGGTCTAATCCCAAAAAGAGTGACTTACTCAGGTGAAAGAATGGGAATTTCTGGATCAGGGCAAGCTGAAAAAAAGAAAAAGAAAAGCCAAAAGAAAAAAAGACTAGTATCTCCAAAGTGTTTTGGGTGTTAACATTAAGATAACTCATGGTTACAGAAGGCGGTAAGGTTCTCAACCCCACCTGAACATAGGAATCACCCAGATAGTTTTTCAAACTACTGACTTGCACTCTGAAAACTACAAAACACATTTGAAAGAAATTAAGTAATCTTACATACATGAGGGGACATTCTATGCTCATGAATTAGAAACTTTTCATTGTAAAAATGACAATTCTCCTAGATTGATCAACAGAGTCAACCCAATCCTTCACAATTCTAGCTGGCTTTTTAATTTTTTTTATTTAAATTTATTATTATTATTATTTTAATTTGACCAGAGCTAGACAGAGAGAGAGGGGGGGGGGGAAGGGAGATGGGAGCCAGTTTTGATCAGAGAGAGAGAGAAAGTGAGAAAGCAAGCCACCAGTCTAGGACTTGAACCATGGTCGGCCATGTGAGAGTCCACAGCTTTAATCATCACATCACCTGCTGGTCCCTTGCCTGGCTTTTTTTTTTAAAGAGATTGACAGGCTGACCCTAATATTCATATGGAAATACAAGGAACCCAGAATATAGTCAGAGCAATCTTGAGCAATAAAGTTGGAGAACTTCTATTTCATAAAGCAAAGGTAGTAAGGGTAATAAATACAGCATGGTACAGGAATAAGGATGAAGGGAATACAGGGGAAGGGAATCAAATCGAGAAGCCAGAAATGAATGTTTACAGTTACAGCTAACCCATTTTAAGTCTTTTTAAAATTAATTATTTTATTTATCACCATCATCATTTTTTTTAATTTGACCAGAAAGAGACAGAGAGAGAAAGGGAAAGCAAGAAAGCAAACCACTAGGTCCAGGATTCAAACCACTTTCAGCCGTGTGGAAGCCCAATGCCTTAACTGACACGCCATCTGCTGGCCCCTAGTTAACTCATTTTTGACAAAGGTATGAAGAACTGGTTCTCTTAACCAATACTAAGACAACTAGATATCCACACGCAAAAAAATTGGGACCCTTTCCTTACACCATGCCTACATGTAACTCAAAATGGTTCTTGAACCTAACTGTAAGAACTAAAATTACAGAGCCCTTAGAAGAAAACACAGGAGTAAATGTTCATGAATGTGAACTAAGACAAGATCTCATTTATGACACCTCCATCAAAAACAAAAGAAATTAAGTTAGACTTTATCAAAACTAAAAACATTAATGCAAAGGATAGCATTAAGAAAGTAAAAAGAGAATGGCAAAATGAGGAAATATTTGCAAATCGTGTATCTGCTAACAGATGTGTATCCAAATACATAAATAATTCCTACAACTCAATAATAAATGGAAAAATATTATGATTAAGAAACGGGCAAAGATTCTGAATAGCCATGTCTCCAAAGAAGATAAAGAAATAGCCATTAAGTATTGACAAATATGTTCAACATCATTAGCTGTCAAGGAAATATAAATCAAAACCACAATAAAAGATAAACTACTTGGAATAATTTACATTTAAAAAAGAAATAAAGGGCTAATTAATACATGCTACAACATGGATAAATCAACTTTAAAAAATTAGGCTAGCATCCAATCACAAAAACCATATATATTGGGACTTCAGAAAAGTCATAATACATTTTTGCACAGAAAAATATGTCATGACTGTTCCGATGTCCCAATAGTTAAGGCTCTATTTATATAAAATATCCAGAGAATAGACAAATTGATACAGATAGTATTTGGGTTGCCAACGGTTAGGGAAAATTAGGGAAATGGGGAGTGATTGCTAATGGGTAGATGTTTCTTTGTGGGATAAGGGCAATGTTATAAACTTGTGTCTGCGGATACACTAAAAACCACTGATCTGTTCCTTAAATGGGTGAATTATATGATGTGTTAGTTATAGCTTAATAATGATGCCAGATTCTGATTTAATTAGAAGTGGGACCTTGGCAACCCTGGCATCAATTCTTTTTTTTTTTAAAGGTTCCAGACTAATATTAGTACCCACCTCAAGTTGAGAGCCTCTGACCTAAGGACAGGGGATAAAAAACGAACATTGCTCATACCTCCTGGGGATCCACCACACAGTAGTGATACAAATACTGATCCACGTAGAGTCCAGTAGCTGCAGGTGTATAGAACTGGCTGCAGAGGGCATTTATCTGTGAACCGTATATAGATCCAGAAGCCTGAGCAGTTGGGTTGACTCCCATTATATAAACAATGGTGGCAATGAACATCATGATGCCTAGGATGGCACTCACTATTATCACCATCAAGTAATAGCCTCTTGTTCTGGCTATCTCAGATCGTATAACACTGGTTACAAATATCACCAAAGCAGCAATGAAACAAAAGGCAGCCATGGCCAACAGGAAGCCCTTGGCTGCTCTTGGATCCGTATAGCTTCCATAGCCATAACCGTAGCCGTAACCATAGCCATAGCCATTTCCGTAGCCACCATAGCCACTTCCTCCATAAGGGTATCCTATACCACCTATTAAGGCACTTCCGTAGCTTCTGTCCCAGGCCAGTGTGGAGGCGACACAGGCAAATGTGGCAATGCACATCACGATAACGAGCATGGACAGAATCCGAATCACTCCTGGAGGAGAGGTCCATTTGTAGAAGTGAAGAATTTCATCCTCTGGGTAAAAAGAGTATGCTGGCTGAGAGAGCATTGGCCGAACATGCATCTCACCACCATATAAATCATTGCTTGGTGCATAATGATTCGGTTTGCTGAAAAGAACATGAAAACAATTTCAAAGTTAGCACTTTTTTTCAGTAAGCAGAAAAAAATGTATAAATTACTCGGAACAATTTAAATGAACTATTAATATATGAAACTACTAAGACTACCCCACTGAACTGTAATGGTGTCTGTGTGTCTGAATCACCTGGAGGGTTTGTTAAAAAAAGACTACTGGCCCCTGGTCTCAGAATTGCTGATGCTGCAGGTCTTATGTAGGACCATTTCTAGGTGATGTTGACGCTGACTGTCTTGGAAATATACACAGAAATGACTGCCTCTAGTATGCTGTGAAGCAAAGGTTCTCAAAATGTGCTCTATGTTGGGGCCACCTGGGACATGTGTAAAATCCTAACAGTGACACTGTTGAGAACAACAGTGTCGACCTTCCTGCCTGTGTGGCACAGGCCTATCCCGGGTCATTCCTGGCTGCCAGCCTCATTCCCCCATGTAAGTGATCACGTACATTCATTTCTTCCGCTGATGGCTATTTTCTACCGCTATTAGGCTCATCTGTGCCAGGGACTGGGCTAGGTAGTGGGGACACAATGATGAACAGGACAGTCTCACTCCAGAGTTCAGTCTCTGTCAAGGGAGTGAGATACTAGGCAAATCACTACACAATCTATAGTTAGTTATGGCTTACAAAGTAAACCAAATATGCAGTGAGTGCCCCTCAAGATAATGCCTAACTGGATCTTGAATCTCCTGGATAAATAATACTTGGCAGGGCTGGCCTGGTGGTGCAGTGGTTAAGTACTGCACATAGACAACTAGATCCCACATGGCCAATCACAGTTTGAGTCCAGGACCCAGTGGCTTGAGAAACATATCAGGCACGTGGACATGCCTCAAATCTCAACAGGATGACAAAATGGAAGAAAACAAGGATTGCAGCATGACCATACCCCATTGGGAGGGGATTGCTCTCTCGCACGCTCTCTCTCTCTCTAGCTCTCTAACTCTCACAAGTAAATGCACCACCACCCCCATGACAATTAAAACATACTTTGCAAGCCCTAGTAATTTAATCACAAATAGACTGCCTATAGAAGGCACACTTATGCAGCCACACCGAGGCTAAGAACTGAGGGTTCCTGGGAGAGAGGAATATATATATTCAAAAGGAGAATTTCTATGTCACAGATTTCTGTATTTCCAGCTCTACTAGACAATGTCCAACTGTTTTCCAAAATTATTATACCAATTATATTCTCATCAGCAGTGTGGAAGCTCAAGGCAGCATTGCTTATGAGATCCCAAAACTAGAAAATAGTCCAAGTAATCCACCTACAGTGGACCAGGTAACTGCATATTCATATAACAGAAAACTACAGAGTTGTGCTGTCCAATATGGCAGCCTTGAGCCATGTGGGTCTAGCACTTGGCTAGTTCAAACTAAGATGTGCTGTTACATGTGTAAAACACACGGGGGATTTTAAAGATGGAATATGGAAAGAAAAAAAAAACATGTAGAGCACCTTGAGAAACTCTTTTTCTTTGTTTTTTGGTTTTTTTTTTTAATTTTTTGGCTGGGGTCAGAGAGAGAAAGACAGGTATTTTTGACAGGGTTTCACCACGTTGTAATCCTCTGCCCCAAACTCCCAGCTAGCTACTGGGTTGTCAGAAAAGTCATGACTTGTTTTTCTATGCAAAAATGCATCATGACTTTTCTGATGACCCAATAGGATTGCAGGCACATGATACCACACCCAGCCTGTTTAGCTTGGTTAGAGGACCAAACTTGAGCCTTCCATGTGGCCCCAGCCACACACACAGCAGCCTCCTCCCACTTGCACCACTGCAATTGGGCCTTATGAATCATTTTTTATATCAATCACATGTTGAAACGTTTTTCTTTTTTAAAGACTAAATATCTTTTCTTATTATTTTTATTTAACTTTATTATTATCATTATTATTTTCCAGTTTGATCAGAGAGAGACAGAGAGAGAGAGAGAGGAAGTGAGAAAGCAAGCCACCAGGTCCAAGACTCGAACCGTGGTTGGCCATGTGGGAGTCCAGTGCCTTTAACCACCATGCCACTTGCCGGCCCCTCAATCACATGTTGAAATAATACCTTTGATACACTAAGTGAAGCATACTATTAAAATTAACTTTTTATCTTTCAAGTTGTTACAAGAAAATGTAAAATTACATATATAGCTCACATGTTTCTGAAGTGTTGCTACAAAGCAAAAAATAATGAACCACAAATACTTGAAGCTATGTGGACAAATATTATAGGTGATGCTGAAAGAAACAAGACCAAAAAAAAAGAATACACATAGCATTATTACATTCATATTAAATCTAAATTGTTTAGGATGTATAAGGTAGTAAAATGACAAAAGCAAGGGAAGATCAATTCCCCTAGTTGGTGGTTTCCAGATAAAGGAGGATGACACAGAGAAACTCTGAGGTAATGTGTTTTCACCTGGGTGCTGATAATATGAACGTCTGCTTTGTCTTCATTTACCATCGCCTGCTTTCTGTGCCCTTTTCCCTATGTTATAGTTAGCTCATCCCTACTTACAAAAGCAACACAAAGTATCAGGTTAATGAAACACCATTCAATTACTATCCTCCAGCATTTTATAAGAGTATAAGAATCTCTTTATCATTAACAACAGTTCCTACTATGTTCAGGCACTAGTAAGGAGGCTACATAAACCCCTAGTTCTTATTGTGAAATATATTATTCAGTCTTTGTCCTGGTTTCCAGGCATACAATTCCTAAAATCCCTAGACTCTCCAAAGATTCTTTGTGTGCTGAAGAATAGCCCCCTGGTAGTTGAAGATAGAGGCTGGTCATAGGAAAAACCAAGGCATGATTAGAAGGTTGGAATTTTCAATCCCATCTCCAAACCAGGGTGAAGAGAGAAACCGAAGGTTAAGTTGATGACAAGTGGCCAGTGACAAAATCAATCATACCTACAAAATGAGGCTTCCATAAAAACACAAAAGGGGGGCCGGCAGGTGGCATGGTGGTTAAGGGAGCTGGACTCCCACATGGCCGACAGCAGTTCAAGTCCCAGACCTGGCAGCTTGCTTTCTCTCTCTGTCCCTCTCTGGTCAAATTAAAAATAAACGAATAAATAAATAACAAATACTAAAACACACACAAGGAAGGCCAGCTAGGTGGTGTAATAGTTAAGGTGGCTAGATCCCACCTGGCTAACTGCACTGTTTGAGTCTCTGATCCAGCAGTGCGTGTGTCATACCCGAAATCCCAAGAGGAGAGTGGAGAAGGGATTGTGGTGTGGCTATTCCCTTTTTTGCATAGAAAAACATGTCATGACTTTTCCAGTGACCCAATAGTTAACTGGGAATTTGGAGCAGAGGACCATAACATGGTGAGACTCTTGTCAAAAATACCTCTTTCTCTCCCTGACTCCAGTTAAAAAACTAAAAAAAATTCAGGAGACACTCTACATTGTATTTGTTTTTCACATTCCATCTTCTTATTTTCTCTCTCTCTCTGCTTCTCTCTCTGTGAACACATGTGCCCTATAGTGGAAAAAAAAGGACTAGGTTCAGAGTTCAGAGCACTCCCAGGCAGCTGAATACATGGATGTTCCGAAGAACAGCATGTCCAGAGAGGGCGTGGAGGATCCACACCCCTTCCTACACCCCTTGCTCTATCTGTCTCATCTGGTGTTCATCAGTATTTATAATAAACCAATATCCTTTATAATAAACTAGTCAATGTAAATAAGTATTTCCCTGAATTCTGTTAGCCACTCTGGCAAAGCAGTCAGACTCGAAGAAGGGATCACTCAGGACCAGCAGCTGGCATAATGGCTATGTCGCTGAACTCCCACGTAGTCGACTGCAGTTCAAGTCTGGGACCTGGTGGCTTAAACTCACGCCGGGTGCGTGTGCATGCGTGCCCAAGATCCCGAGAGGAGAATGGAGGAGAAGGGATTGTGGTGTGGCCATCCCCCTGGGGGGTTATTTCTCGCTTTCTATCTTTCTGTCTCTGTCTTTCTGGCGAGCGCACGTGCCCTATAGCAAAAACCCAAGGGATCACTGGAACACCAGTTTACGGCCATCAACAGAAGCACAGGCCACAACCTGTGCTTGCTACTGGCCTTTGAAGCAGGGGCCAATCTTGCCTGACTGAGCCCTCACACAGTGACCTGTGCTATCTTCCGGCAGATAGCATCAGAAGTGGGCTGAATTAGAGGACACTCAGCTGGTATCCACTGCAGAACTGATTGCTTAGATCTCGGAGGGGGAAATCCCCACATATTTTGGTAACCAGAGGTCACGGAAGTATGCTATATTATGCTAGGAGTGCACAATAGGAAAACTGAGTTATTTTTCCTATATTACAATCCACTTCAGTCAAGGAATTAAAACTACCAACTACTATAAGGAGAAAATCCCTATCAATGTCTGATAGTGAATTAAAATTTAAAAATTCATTGATAAGTCCTTAAATGACTGAAAAGGTTGTTTGAAGACTCCAAGAACCCTCAACTTTGCTTGTGTTATAAAATAGCAGGAATCACCCTTAAAATTGACAATACGGAAAACATTTGTGAAAGAAGTCAGTTACAAAAGACCACATGTTACATGATCTCGCTTATATGAAATATCTAGAATAGACAGATCTAGAGATAGAAAGTACAGTGGTGGTCGACTAGGACTGGGGTGACTGGGAAGTGACTGCTTATGGGTAGGTTTGGTTGGAGAAGATGAAAATGTTCTAAAATTAATTGTGGTGATTTGCTTTATGATTGTGAATGACTAACAATGACTGAATTGTCCATTCTAAATGGGTAAAATTGTACGGTGTGTGATTATCTCAATTAAGCTGTTTTTTGTTTTTTTTAAATCGACAGTATATTGCCAGTAGCCAAGAACTCTCATCCTCAGTTAAGAGTGAAAGGGAGGGGCCTGACAATGGTGCCACAGTAAAACACAACATTCTGCAAGACTGACCAGCATGGTAAGGTTCCAGGCTCTCAGAGATACCTGCCCCCCACCCCCAGTACGCCTGGCACGTGTCCACGATTCAGGGCTGGCTGAAGCCAGGAGTGGATCATTCTTGGGCACAGTCTCTCAGCCTCTCTCTCTGTTTCTCTTATTCATGGAACAAATACCTAACTAAATAAACAAACAAAACTTGAAAAGATTAAGAGGAAAATTCACTTTTCACTGAAGTATGCATACTGTTATTTTAGTAGATGAAGTTTCAACCATACATGTTTTTTTTACACATCACAGACAAAATATAAAAAAGAAAAATACTTACTACTCATCAGGTCTATAAGGAGGTGGACTTTCAAAAGGCCTCGATGACATGGCTGATGTCAATGGTCACCTGATCTTCAGGATGAGTAATACCTTGCACCTCCCACGATAAGCCAATCTAAGCAACAAAAGTAGGGTAATGGCGTTACTACGGAGCTCAGAGTTTCCTGGCATCGCTTAAGAAAACGAACGATACCAATCTCCACATAACCACGTTCTCCACAGTTATTTCTCTTATCCTTTCCACTACCATTTTTACACACTGAATAATTAATTCCTTGTGCACACGGAATCACTCAGCATAAGGATTATTAGCCCAGTAATCTCTAGCACCATGTTCTGCACAAACTTGGCATACAAATATCCTTTAAGCCTGAAATTCTAAGTTAACAGTAATGATAATTTCACAAATGGTCATTATATAGCACAGGTAAAAATGATCTTTTCAAAGTACTCATGTCAAAGAACAAAGATCTGTAAAAGAAAAGATAAAGGTTCTCAAATTAAAGTGTTTCATATCACTTTGAAAGTTCACATAGAAAATGTATGTAAAAGTGCATATACAGCAGTGACACACACATACCGGCCCTTCTACATTACCTGAAGCAGGAGCTAATTAGTTACGTAGTATGCCTCTACTATTAACAATGATTATAAAATGTATCTGTGGATGGTTAGATTGTGTACATTTTTTCTCTCATCCCTGTCCCAAGTCTTCAATGAACACATTTTTTACACAAAAGGAAAAGCATTGAACACACAATGTATTACAGAGTTCTTTTCTATCTTTCTTTCTCTCTCTCTCTCTTTCTTTCCCTTTCCTTCCATCCGTCCCTCCCTCCCTCCCTCCCTTCCTTCCAATTTGACCAGAGAGGGACAGAGAGAGAGGAGAGAGAGAAAGAGAAAGTGAGAAAGCAAGCCTCCAGGTCTGGTACTCGACCCCAGTCAGCCATCCGGAGTCCAGCACCCTTAGCCACCACACCACCTGCCGATCCCTAGAGTTCTTTTCTAAAAGAAAAGCATAATAATTTGGTTCTGAAATTCCTTGGAGCACAAATGCCTAACTATGTGAAAGGCAATTTCACTCAATCAGCAAGTATTTATTAAGTGCCTACACTATACCATGGGAGCTTGTGAGTTACGTATGAGACACAATTCTCCAGAGAGCCACACACAAAGGAAACAGCACTGATATCAGGCACTACTTAGGGCTGGAACCACATGATGAAGGACAGTATGTGGTGAACGAGGGAAGACCTGACAGAGAAGAGCCAGAGGTAGGGTCCTGGAAGGGAGAAAGGGCATTCCATCTGCTAATATGCATGTGGCTAATTCACGGGACAGCAAGGACACCATGCCAGGACAAGCTGGAATGGTACAATCTTTTAAAATAAGACTACAGTGAGAATATGGAGGGTGGAAGATAGAACAAGAACACAGGGAACTTTGAAACTCCAAGTGGGAGCTTCTCATCTCACTGAGGTAGGAAAGAGGGAGCCAGTTCACAATGCTCCACAGGGGAGGTATAATTAAGTCTGACTTCAAACCAGATTTGAAGGACAAAGTAGACAGAGTGAAAAGGAGCAGGTGCGGTCGGCAGCATTTCCAGGTGTGAGGTGACAATGAGGACTAACTGAGGAACCAGGAGAGGGGAGGGAAACTAACATTCAGCAGAGACCTACCATGTGCTAGGTGCTTCACATAAAATTCTCACTTCATCCTCAAATCAATCCTCCACAGTTGATTAGCACTTCACAGATGCAGAGAGGGGCAGAAGACGTGAGAAGTACCATGCTCAAAGCCACATGGAGGCCAGTGAGTCACCGAGATACAGCATGAGCCCCGAAGACCCCACGTGCTTCCCACTTCCACAGTTCTGACAATCCCAGACAGGGATTTGCTAGCTTTTCATATGGAGTAGGTATCTGGTATCAATGTCCACAAGCTACGGGTTAGAAGTCATTTACCTAGGCCCGTAAGTGGATCCATGGACGTGAAGAGCTCTCCAGGAAAAAGACTTGCCATTTTATCTCAGGAAGGTGTGATAAACACACCATCCCCAAACCTAAAGAGCTGTGATTATTCTAGAGAATCCAGTGTTGGAGACACTGGAAGGTATTTGGTCACACAGCTCCGGCACCTCAAGCCTCTCTGGTTAGATACATTGAGCCAGAAAATGTTCTCTCCCGGGTATACTAGTAATCAGTAAAGAAGGGAACTCTGAAGGTAAATCCACTAGAAGGTAAATTCCATGTGAACAGGAATTTCTGCAGGTTTTGTTAATGGATTAAAACAATGCCTGAGGCATGGTAGTTAAGGCAGCTGGATCCCACATAGCCAACTCTATGGTTTGTGTCCCTGATTCTGCAGCTCGAAAAACACACCAGGTACGCGTGTGTGCATGCTCAGAATCTTGAAAGGAAAGAAAAACTGTAGAAAGGATTACAGAGTAATTGTCCCTCTTGGAGAATACTTTCTCACTGCCCACCCCCACCAGCATACATACCTTTGGGCAAAATTTTTTTTTTGAAAAAAAACGCCTGACACATGGTAGACGCACAAATATTTGTTTAACATTTACATAAATCAGATTGGATCACTGATAATTTTGGCTGTAAAACTTCTTGTGCTTTCAGGGTGAAGATAATGGAAAATTATCAGATTAACCTTGTAAGGCATTCCCTGAATGACACTTGAGCATGATCTGTACTCTGAGTATGTTAAAATAAGGTCTATGCAATTATATATTGCTATGTTAGGTACAATAAATCATTATAGTCTTTAAACTTTAGTCTTTAAAATGAAAAGCAACTTTCTCCCCCATCCTTAAGGGCAGTCAATCCCAAATCTCTCAAAATAAAACATTGCCTAAATGTGCAAAGGATCTTCAAAAAGTTCACAGAATATGGGCATTATTTTAAAACCTATGCATGAATTTCAAAATTTTTTTTGCACTGGGCCTGGCAGGTAGCATGGTGGTTAAGGGTGCTGGACACCCACAGGGCTGACCTTGGTTTGAGCCCTGGACCTGGTGGCTTTCTTGCTGTTTTCCCTCCCTCTCTCTCTCTCTCTCTGTCCCTCTCTAGTCAAATTAAAATAAATAAAAGTTAAATAAAATAATTCTTTAAAAAATTATTTTTGCACCAAAATACTTTAACTTCACTTTTCCACAAATTTTTTCAAGTCCCTTCGTATATTAGATAAAACCCGAAAGATAGACATATACTAAATGTTATTAACGCCAACACAATTCGTGTAATTTTCCAAACATGGTTAGACAACAACTTCCCTACATTTTTTTCATTTATCAAAGCCACTGTATGAAAGTATAACAAAAAACACATAAATCACCAGTGTACACAGTTCTGTAACTAGCACCCATCAATTTCTTTCTATTCTTTTTTATTTTTGGAGAGGTTTTTTTTTTTTTTTTTTTTTTTTGCTATAGGGCGCATGCGCTCACCAGACAGAGAGAGACATAGAGACAGAAAGCGAGAAATCACCCCCAGAGGGGATGGTCACACCACAATCCCTTCTCCTCCATTCTCCTCTCGGGATCTTGGGCATGCATGCACACGCGCCCGGCGTGAGTTTTCAGCCACCGGGTCCGGGACGCGAACTGCGGTCGACTACATGGGAGTCCAGCAACATAGCCATTAAGCTAACTGCTGGTTCCCAATTTCTCTCTATTCTAATGGTAACATGCAAATATAAATGAACAACTGGGCCAAAATGGTATGATACTTAGAAAGGGTAAAAGTCCAGACTAAGTATCTTCCTAACTGATGTTCAGAATTAGAACAAAACTAGAGTTAAACACTATCAAATGTAGGTCCTTATTTCTGAAGTTGAATGTCAAATAGGACAATTACTGGGAACCAGCAGTTAGCGTAATGACTATGTCACTGGACTCCCAAGTAGACGACCGCGGTTCGCGTCCCGGACCCAGTGGCTAAAAACTCACGCCGGGTGCATGTGCGTGCGTGCCCAAGATCCCGAGAGGAGAATGGAGGAGAAGGGATTGCGGCGTGACCATCCCCCCTGGAGGGTGATTTCTAGCTTTCTGTCTCTATGTCTCTGTCTGTCTGGTGAGGGCACGTGCCCTATAGCAAAAAAACAAACAAACAAAAAAACTCTCCAAAAAAATAGGATAACTACTGACCCTACAGGTGTCTTCCATACCTATGACTCACTCACTAAGGCTATTCTCAAAAATCCCAGAATCTGTGATAGTTCTTGAAAATTCTAAATTAATCCAGATTCAGGCTGAAGATTAAGTTGTCAAAAATTCAAACAAAATTCCTTTTCAAACTGCTATTTTCTGGTTTCAAAGTTTAGTTGTCCTATCTCCCATAACAACAAAGATTTTCAATTGTGAAGCAAACAATTTTAGGAAGCTCATTAAAAACAAGTCATGCCACACCACCTTCATTTCATCTTTTGAGAAGGTTGCCAGACTGGTAGGAGGACATACAGATAGAGAGAATCCAGGAAATCTTGAGTAGTCTCCTTGTGGCTGGGCAAATTCCCAAGGGGCTGAACAATGATATCTAATTAGCAGGGAAGAATGACCAGGTGTGTCCACCTGCAGGGCAATCTCTAGTGGTGACCTCAGACCAGGTGGGTTTATCTACATTTGCAGCTGATCAAACACTGGACAGGATAACTGACCCACTGCTAGAGGTCCCCACTACACTGAACAAGATCTCTGTAAGGCCAGACTAATGGAATAAAACAAATCTAGTGGTTTTTAAAGCCCCTACACACTAGCTCAAAACCTGAGACAAATTCTTCATCCTAGTCCCAATGCCCTACTGTGTCAAAGGGGGTAATAATTCTGGGCTGGGCCAGTTAATAAAGAACATGAGCAAATGCATTCACAGTAAAGTAGTCATCCTGAAGGTAAAAAATGTCAGTACTGAGACTCTTAGGTATATTGTGTCCACTTTCTAATACTAGAGGCAGGAGTAAATTATTTTTAAAATGTAAACTCTGCCCAGCAATGATGCATGCTGCTATACCACTGTGCTCTGCAGACTGGAACCACACCAGAGGCCCATGCTCAGTTCCCTATCCAACCTAAAGGCCAGGTGCAGTGGCAGGCACCTGCAATCCCAG